ACACAACAACAAAAACATTAAAGTATAAATACAGTATAGTGGCAAGGTAGCCCAAAGAGAAACCAGAAGGCTTATATGATTTGGGCTCCTTATTCATGAGTTTGATAGGTCTGAAGGCAGCTTAGCATAAACATTATTAACAATTAATTCATATTCATTTATAGTTGTTACAAAATCTAACAAATGGAGGAGTTATTTATATAATCTATTTGTCAAATTAAGAATAAAAAAAGATAGATTGATAGCTATCAATAAAATACTCAATAAGAATATAAAATTAAACAGATTATTAATATAAGACTTAACTCAAAAACTGTTCAATTAAAGAGAAAACAGATAATTAATTCTTCAATTTGGATTGAAAACAATAAACAGTTGATGCATCACGGATATTCTGACTAAGTGAATTAAAAAATTTTGGAGCCTGATAAATAACTGAAAATTGTCTAATTTCTGTTCTACAAAAAGGAATATGATACAAATTAGAATTACGCGTATCATATTTGTGAACTTGATTTGTACGTAGAAACAAATTATCGAAATTTCGAGGAAGCAGTTTGTTTTGGTATAAATACATAAATTTCCCTATAGTTGAGGTAAATAAATATTATCAAATTTGAGAATCGAATAGTCCAGAAAACCAAAACGCTAAACACATTTTGCAAAACAGCAAAATCAATTTCGTCACGGTTACAATAAAAAAATGTACTTCATATTTCCAACAAGATAAACTTGGGCTATTTACGCATTGACCGTTAATACATTTCCAATCTATATTCCAAAATGAATGCAAAACTCCATAATATAGTAGCTACGATATAAAAATCTGCGGGTGTATTATATTACGTATTATATTACGTCACACTTCAGTTGCCGACATTTTTAGAATTATTGTGGGAAAGTGTCGGAATTGGTCTTAAACGCTTATCATTATCTCACAAAATGAAAAAGACTAAAGCTTCAAATATTGACAGATTGGTGTTGTTAGACTTGTTATGAGCGTTGATACAAAGTAAAATTTGTTTTTGACGTTTCATGCGTTTCAAATTTTAAAATATTAAGTTTTTTGAAAGCACAAAAGCAAATGTAATACACAAGTGCTGTATCAGTTGTGTATTTATAGAAACGGTAGAAATCATAAACATCAGTTTGACCCCGTCAGATTCGCTGCATAATGCCTTAGTGAAACCCTAGAATACGATACATTCTTAACTTAAAGATGCTGTAAAGTCCATAATGTAAACAAAGTAACAAACGCTTTGTTATATTTTGAACTGCTATATTTGTAAAATATGATATGCTAACTGAATATATCTAACACTTTTCTGGTTCCCTATGCTTGTAAATGAATACAAACTCTACGGTTCAATAGGCAATTCCAATTTTTAGTTTATGCGTACAGGGGGGGAG